GAAGATCAACTGAACGGAGTGTGTACAGATTGGCTAGATGGTTAATGTTTTGGAGACAGCATTCTATTGCTGCGGAAAATGAGGGTCCAACCTACCTTTGATTACTAAACAGAGGCCTGAATCACACTACACTTAGTCCTCGAAGCTTTATTTTCACGCACATGGGATTGTCTAAATCCTTGCTTCAAAAAGAAGTTTCTCGGGCGGGCTGTTTTACCACATGTTCTGCCACTAAAGCCACTGAAGCAAAATTCATTTTGTTTGAGAACATGCGACGAAAACATTGTCGGAAATGACCGCCGTCTACTTTTTGCCACGTAACTGCACTTAGTATACGCACCACTGGTGACTTTCGGTGACCGATTGCGGCATCCAAGGATTGTATGACAGTCACAGACAGCTAACAGCTACAAGCTCCACTGCATAGAAAATTTCAAATCACATTAATTCACAGTCAACAACCTACCTATCACGGTCGATGAGTTGTTGAGGAAGCAAGTATACCAATGTTAACGAAGTTTCCGGTCCACCACTTCTCTCTTTATTTGGTGGATGCATAGAATCTGGTATTGATTGAGCGCGTCTGCGGGATGCGCTAGCCATTAACTATAGCATCGTGTAGAGACCACGGATCTTCTTACCGTAAACATGTAGGCCATGCGCTCTCAGCTGGCTAGCGCAATTTCTGGCGCTCATAGTTATCAGAATATCAAATTGAAGTTGTTCTATCTTCTGAGGGACAATCTTGACAAACGACCGATAAATGATCAGTATACACAAACTTGAATACGCGCATCTTCGTGGAGTGCGGTAAGATATAGAGCAGCTCGGACTAAGAGCAATATAAAATCGAATGGCGGAGCGTGGGCTCCAACAATTAACTGTGTAACACTGTGGCATTATCCAGTGGAGGGCAGAAGATTCGCTTCATTGTGACATTGAGAAACTTATTCAGTTAGGAGGCAGAAAAATGAATGGTATGTTAGCCCATTTAGCATCGTAGAAGTGCGTGAATGCAAGCGAATGTCTTAAAATAAACAAGGGGCTCGTGTTATCGCTTGTATATGGGCAGTTGCCAACAAAGATTGCTACACCTAATTAAGGGCAAAAAGGGAACGGGTGGAAGGATGAACAGTCGGTTGGAACGGGTAAAACTGCCCTACGCGTGCCTGTTGGCGGACTGTCTAGCGTCGGTGTACATGAACGCGACAGTGCATCATCTCAAAATCACCCTTCCTTAAGTTGCCGTAAGAGGATTAAAGAGAAACGCGCAAAACCGATCCAGTAGCTCCTGTACCCTCGCACATTTTTCCAAACGTACAAGGCAAAGAACATAGTCGAAAACCACCCGCGATTTACGAATGTTGTAAATGGAACGCAAAAGCATCCCTTTTACCCTTCGAGAAAACTTAACCTAACTCAATAACAGGTAAGGTAAAAATACAAAAATACAGGAAACTCTACAGGCGACGGTTTCCTCTAAAATTGAGGGTTCCAGCGGTCTCAACTGAAGCGAACATTTTCCTAACTCTGCAAAACTGCAGCTTCCAATGTCCTCAAAGTTGTGATAATCCCGTTAAAGCTCGCTAGTGGTACGCCTGTTTACAGTGTACAGTGATTTGTCTTCGCTGCTTGCTACAGTCAGTAAAACAGATGTGTTGAATTTTCACGGAAAGCTACCGGTGTAACGAGGGATTGAGGCGGTATATGGTTGGGAGCCGAGCTCCGCCTCGCGTCAGACGAAAGATGAATTTTCCCAAGGGTATGTTGGGCTCGCTTTGCATTGGTCTTTGACCATTGTGTGGTAGTCAATAAATATCCAGCAGTGTCCAAGAAGACGCGTGAGAATATCCATTTTTGAAAGTTTGTGTACAAATTAGATGTTCACTCTCCTGTCTAGTGACTTGAAACTATTTATCTTTTGTTTGATAATAAATGACTCCGCAGCAAATGTCCTTCTCCTTTACACCGGCACATGCCTTGTCAAAACTGAATATCATGCGCACAAGAGCAATGGAAAACGACCTTATCAGGAGGCCGCTGGGGTTGTGTGGCATCACCATGGCGTCAGATGTCTCTTGTCGAACTTCCTCAAAGTGGCATCTGAGCGACTCCATAAACCACATATCTGTGACATTCAAAGTTGGTGGAATGCTGCTCTTTGGTTTCATGGGCAATCAAGCTTGCTCAACGCAGACCATGCACGGCAAACATACATGTACGTATTTTCCATCATTTATCCCAGTAAGACCACTGTCCTTATTGACACGTAATTAAATAATCGTTCTTCAAGGGCGATTCAGAACATCAGGTGGTTTTATTGCTTTCCGAATCTTATATCAAATGCACAAAATCCCCAACAATCAACTGCCAAGTTGCTCTCGTTAACCGCAATTGCTCACCATGCACAGGCTTAACACCTTCAACGAACTGGTCAGACCGCAAGTGGTGGCTCAACACTCTGTCCAGTATCGGTAAGGCCCTATCCAGCGCCTGCTGCGTGCTGGCGAAGGACACTGCCGGGTCGCATTCAGGTCTCCTCCTGACCATCCTGAACCGCCTCATCGCCTCATGGCGGTAAGGCGGTGAGTCGAACTCCACTGCAAGACCTTCCTTCGCGGCGGCCCTGTCCATTTCCGAAGGCCTCTTCCGGCCGCATCCAGGGTGGCCTCTGAGGAGGGCCTTCAGTGCCGCGAAATTACCCAACTCAGTCTACAGCATAGCCACCACTACGACATCATCGAAAATCTTCGGAAAATTCAGCATATCCCCATCCTTCAAAGGCTGCGGTCACGGGCTCTTCATCCGTATTCTGGCCACGGCACCAAATGTAAGGAGGAAGACTTCTGGCTTCTGTCTTTAATCAAGCGCCAACTGAATAGTAGTGAACTGTTGGAGGGAACATGAACCTCTCCTATATATCTTGTTTTCAAAAACCGACCATTCTCATGCACCTATTTGAACTTTCGTGGATATTCACTCACTATCACGCAACTGTAAACGAACGTTGAACGGTAGATCCTCGAGTTCCGTAATAAACCCCACCTTCCTTTAAACGCTGGGCGGTTTAATATGCACGCTATGGGAGAACCAAGGGATAGTGATTTTCCGAGGGCAGGTGTTAACGTCAAGTGCTGTGGGTGGAAAACAGAAAAAAAACTCATGAGCCAAAGCCAAGTAAGCAAGGTTGTACATCACCAATACTTACATACAAATTAATCAAAATGACAGGCACCGTATATAACACTGGCCCCCTCTTTTGAAGGACACCGTCCCCGGTGTACGTGATCCGTCTGGTGCCGGTGGTGTAGCGCGTCAGGCTGATGAGCGTGTGCTGAGGTTGCTGAGTTTGGGGCTGCGTCCACCGTGTGTGAGTGAGCAACATGTTAACTCTGAGGTATGTATGCACGTATGTAGAACCAGGATCTTTGTGGGAGGTCCACCGGTATGTGGTAACCATCCCGGCGTGGTCGCCAATATTGTAGTATCCACGCTACAGAAGCACCAGGGGACAGTGATTCGCCGAGGGCAAGTGTTCACGACAATTTCTGTGGATGGAAAACAAACAAGGATCATGAGGCAAAGCCCAGTACCCAAGGTCGTACAGCACGAATGCCTATAAGTCAATCACTGTATATTACACGCGGATTTACGAGAAAACCGCATTCTATTCGCATGACCCATCGACAGTTTCCACAGTTACACCGATAGCTACGTGTGCCGGTGTTTATTGGATACTGTTCAAAAGTGTGAGTAGTAAACTGAGTGCAATTTTCGAACTAGTATTGAAGTTATTTCGAAAAGACATATTCTCTAGTAGCTTAGCGCAAGAGGACGGAAGATTAACTTATAAAAACACTCGCCTAATTTTAAAGGGTTTCATGACTCCGCTTCAAAGGTATTGCAGATTCACAAGCCCCGGACATGCGTATTCAATGACGGATTGTGTGAGAAAGGACAAGAAAACATCATGAGGATACACACCAAAAAGTATTGGGGTATCTGGGTCTCCTCGAACTTATCTTTCTCACTGCTACACGAGAAATCGGCTTAAAAGGCATTCATCATTTTACGGATGATCCGAAGCACCTTCTCCCGTATCGCTCTCACGGACTTACATGGGCCTACGTCAGACCGCTCCTGGAATACGCCAATCAAGTTGTCTACTCAGGACGCACGAAGGACGTCACCCTCATTGAGCGTGTCCAACGAGCCGCTACTAGGATGATTGCCGCCCTCAAATCCGTGGACTACGAAACGCGTCTCGCGATGCTTGATCTCCTTCCCCTGGAGTATCGTGGCGTCCGAGGGGACCCAATTCTCACTTATGCTGTGTTCGAACAGTGCTTGGCCAACAGGTTTTTCACCGTTGACCGAGAAAACACACGGCCGGGACATAGTAAGAAGGTTTTCGCGCTCAGAGCGCATACATCCATCAGGTAAACTTCTTCCTCATTTAGGATAGTAGCTGCGTGGAATGACCTTCTTCCAACGGTTGTCCACGCTCCTTCTAGAACCCAGTTTAAAGCACTACTAGATATTTGTTTATGAGAATCCTCGAGCTGGCAAGCATACTGTCCCGCACTGAGAACATAAAGAGCAGTGCTACACCCCTTTTTCACCTGTGCCTTTCAGGTGAATGGCAACCTCTGAACAAAAAGAACAAAACCGACCCTGGAAACCTGGGCAAAAACCTCGATCCTGTGTATCAATCCGTGAATCCGTGAATTTACAGCGGAATACTCTGGATGCAAGAATGGAATGCTTGTCCGCAGGACTATTAGATAACCTTTTGACCTTCCCCTGCATTCTACTGTCTACTCAATCGAACACTTTGAACACTTTGCCTCTGCTGCTTGCTAACGACTTGGAGTCATGCAGTTCTCACTTCAGCCAATTAGCATTTTCAGTGCTTCGATTGATTGCGTGTACAGTGAACTGGGTTTGTTGATTGGCATCACATCCCACGGCCATTTAGCGCGCCTGTTGAAGAGGGTGTTGCGCGCACCAGTGGCCGCGTTTTCGTTTGGTAGCCCGCGGACTTATCTGCCACCGTCCTTTGGCGATTTGATGCATGTAGAATGGTACTCTTGTGTGGCCCCTGCAGGCAGATGCTGGCTTCTCACTGGCGTCATTTGTGGAATGTACTTTTTGTGAATTCAGTCGCCGGTCACCGGATCCAAAAAATCGATGTCAGGGCCGTGTTTTCACCTAGGCGGTGGTGGATCTGTGTATCACTCGTGTAAGTCACAACAAAAACCTGGACACCTTTTGTGTGCAATATTTGTGTGGACGCTCACGGACTAGGTGATCTCGGCCAATGTTACTAGACCGACTAGCTTACCCTGCTGTACATCACCGTGACGCTTGCGTGAAAGTACACCGGCTTCTTGGATGCCTGAGGTCTCAGGTAATCGGTTGCAACAATTGATGTTTGGGCTGTTGCACGTGCCGGTACAGTTTTGGTTTCGATAGCCTCGACCGCATACTGTTTACGTAGACTGTTCGTAGACCCGGATCTTCAATAATGGCAGTTTGCAACTTGGTACATAGAATGAAGGCGAATTTCGAAGCAGTTCACATTCTCTTGCATCAGTGGGTTCCAGCGCTTTCATAGGACCATGACAAAGCAGGGACCGTTCACTTCAATGTTCACCGCGCGTGGTGAGAGTTAATTACAAACATTATATGGGAGCCATGCTTTTTACTTCAAATCATTGAGATAACCCTAGGTTTATTGCTGCTTTTAAATGGGCCATAGTTGACCAGATTTCCACTGCCTCTAGACTTTGGTCACCGCATTAGAAAAAGAAGGATCAAATTTCCGTTATCACTTCGTATCGATGCAGGTTTTCAGCTGATCGCCTCAACAAAGCTGTCATTCTTCGTACAAGACATTTGCATTCACCTTTTTTCGGCCTTCACAACATCATTCTCGAGTTACCCCCGGGGATTAACAGAGTAATCACGAGCACATGTAGATTTCAATGATCATTGCTGATTTTGGACCAGAGCGTAACATCTTAAAGTGGTACCACTTATTCAAGCAACTTTTCAACAGACTACTGGGTAAGTCCTCATGGAGCGATTTTCCCCGTATGATTGTATCGTAGGTGGCTGTATGGTTTCCTTTTCCCAGTATACCGGCATTTTATTCACGAGAGTATCCTCTCTTAGTAATTCTTCTGCCCTTCCCTGTTGTAACCGGTCCTGTATTGATCATGCAAGTGTTCACTTGTTCATTCGATGACTAAGAAAGATCGATGTCATATGGTTGAACATGCGTTGCATCCACGTTTGTGACTTTAAATGTCTTCTAGGGTTTGTCTGAGGTAATGCAACCAAAAGAAACCCCATACCACATTGACCGTGTTGACATCAATCTGGTCATCTCACTTGCCCTACACCGCATTGAAGGTGGGCAAACGGGCTACTAAAAACTATCCCTTCACTTATTCATTTCTTTTCCCTGAATGAGTGTAATCTCTGTCCTCATAAATTAGCAGTGGAATCTCACTGGACGTCTTTAGCTGCAACACGTACACATCTTTTGGTCTTCACAGCCAGAAGAGTTCGAAAGTAGGCCCTGAAATCCTGACCGCCTGTTCGTCTGGCAGTATTTAAGGTATGCTATCCGCACCAAGCTGAACAGCAACCTGCTTTAGCTGTTGTGTTTAATTCTCTATTGAGTGTCACTACGAAGAGACAAATCTAGCGAGATGTGACGCTCTGTGTACTCCCGTGACGCGGTGAAATATACTGGGTTTTATGTGTGCGATACACCAGCTTGGCTAGTGGTTAGAGTTCTGGTCACCTCGGTCTTCACACAGTCATGTTTGGGAGTTTGAACACTTTATCTTTGGAAAGTCCTTTGCCGGCGAAACTATCGGGGACCAGAAGGGCTCCCTAATATCCAACAAGAGAGAACGTTTGGACCAGTACACAGTACTCCGATCAATTTAATCGGCCACGTGCTACCTCCAGTCCGGACTGCCGGCCTTCAACAAAAAAATGGACTGTGGATATGTCAAGTATTCGTGTATATATCTCTACTCATCGTGTTTCTGGCAGTGATAAATTTCCACTCTGCTCAAGCATGGTGGGGGGTTTCTCAGCTAGTGTCTGTCTGGCATATCTGGCAAAAAGACTTTCCCAGACAACTGGGGTGAATCGATAATAGAGCCCATTTTAAAAATGGTTACTCACAGTGGATGTGATAACCACAGAAGTGTTAGTCTGACTCCTGTTGTGACAGGGCTTCTAGCGTCACCAAGTCTCCATCGTTTTATGGTGACGCGCGAAACTTTGACTTGTGAGAATTGAACGGAATTTCAACTGGGTAGGTGCTGCTTTGACCACATCTTCACATTACGCAGGCGTTAGAGCAACGCTACATACGCAGACGATCCACAATCTTAATGTCCCTTGACTTCAGGAGTGTGTTCGATTCTGTCGATCGGTCAGTGCTGTTAACTACTTTTTCTCCAGAAGTTTAGGCATAATCGGGTCCCTATATTCACATAGTTCCTGGCGTGAGAGTGTGTAGTGAGCTTTCAAAAAATGTTACCCACAAAATGTGACCGACGGGAATGTCCACTTTCTGTTCTCTTTCAACGGCTGTAAATAAAATAATAAATCATTCAGCTGTAGCACTCTTTCGGTGCCTAGCTGCCATGCCGCGCGAATGAGGCACGAGGACTGGGATACTGCCAGGTCGCCCAAGTCTAGACAGGGGAAGTCGAGAGGCAGAGGTCGGGTTCGAACCGCGGGCCTTCCGGTCAGTAAATTCGTGCTCTAACCACTTGGCCCATCTCAACGGCTGAAGTCGCCGTCATATTTCAGGATCAGAGCGAAGCACAAGCCCTGTTGAATGGACTGACCATCGTCATACCATCTTTCGGCATGCGCTTTACGGCTTGTATTTGCTTATGCAGTAGGTACTTCAGTGACGGAAAACACCCGCTCCATTGCTTTGGCTCGACCATTTACTACACATGCTGCAACACTGTCTCCTTCAGAATGGCGGAAACCATGGGATAGGGAATGTATGCTTTAGCATAAGGGAGTGAAAGAGATTGGGAAGAATTTGTATACTTTTGGTGCGTTACGCCTTCCAGGATGGAGTCCCGTGACCCCGCCTGCGCTTGGCTTGAGAACTTGCAAGATATGGCGGCTGATCGATTTCAGCGGCGCTCATCTTTTAGCTGTAGCATCCTTTCGCTGCCTAGCTACCATACCACCCGAAGGAAACACGAGGTCTGCAATACTGTCAGATTACCCAAGCCGAGACAGAACTCGGGATACTGAGGTCGGATTCAAACCTCGGAATTTGCCCTGTGACCACTGACCCATCTCGCCCTTGTGCTTGCGCTGTCAGTTTCGTTCCAGATTGTCTGATTGAGCGCCTGGAGATGTAGGCACCTTAGCATGCTTGACGCGGGCCTGTATTAAGTCCTTTCCTTCACCCACTTTTTCTTTTTTTTTCACTCTAACGCTCCCAATACAATTTGACGTACTTTATGATTCTACGGCAGTGAGGCGTCAGTGTTAACATCTGATGGTGACTGGTGGTGGCGAAGCACAGTTGACACCAACAGTCTCGTTACAGCCCGGATCAAACTGATTCCCTTTTGGTTACCACACTCATTACGAGCACCCTTTCTGTCGGTTTTGCGGGACAGTCTCCTTTCACGAATGCGGACAAAGATCATAAAATCGTTGACTTTGAACATCTTTGAACGTTGCAGGTGGAAGGTCATCTGGACCAGTGGGAGAACATGCAGTCAGAAACCTCCGGGGCTATGGGATGTTGTCTAGGACCACACTCAGGGTTCTATTTCAACCGTAAGCTCCAGATGAGTGGCAGCGGGCGAATATAAGGATCGTTCAAGGTACCCGGTTCAGTGTTTGAGGCGTTGTTTGTTCAAGGTGGTCGTTCCGTTCTGATCTTTAATGGTTTCTTTCACAAATGTTTTCTGTGGTGTCGTTGAATGAATCATCGGCAGTAACCTTCGGTCATCCTCGGCTTTCTGGGCCTAGATTTCCCCGGATTCCCGAATCCACCAGACTTCACGATCGATGCGTACGCTTATTTTCGACGCATGATAGTTCACCGGGTCGAGTTCACAACTGACCAAGAAGTAGTGCCATTGTTCTATCTGATATCCAGTGCTTGAGTGAGCCTGGTAGCGTCATGCCGCAAGCCAAACTCCCGGCACTGTATGTATTCACGTCTGATGGAGCATTTGAGAGAGGCCCAAGGAGACAATCCTGGTAAATCCGTCGAACATCCGTATCTTTCAGTATCTCAGCTGCTTTGAGATTTTTTTGCATCTTACGCTGCCCTGAAAAACAAAAGCAAAGGCAACTCTGGACGGCACGTGTTCGGGATCCGCAAATGTGCTCCAAAACGGGCGGCAGTCAGTTATTGATCCGCGCTATTCGTAATTGGTAGCGATGTAGTCAATCTGAGTTTGTAGCCGGCACGCTGTTGGACACCATGTGACCAGACGAATTTGGCTATTCAGGTAGTTACTGCTGCATAAAAGCAACCTGCAATAAGCACATAGTTGAAGCAATTTTTGCCATTATCCGTGCGTACCGTGTCCAATCCATGTTGACCAGCTAATTCAGTCAAGTGCGCTGAACCTGCCCACTTGTGCATTCAGATCTGCAATCACAGCGATAGCTGAGATTTAGCTCGCCGCAACAAGGCACTCAGGGCGTCGAAAAACTTGCCGTTAGTGGTTCAGAACTACAGTCAGTTGAGGCGTAAGCAGACACGACAAACAGGCCTCGATCAACTTCCCTTTTCACAGATGTTGGCAGACGAACCGCACACAAGTAACTGTCAACGGGTATCCAGTCAAGCTAGTATCCTTTCGCCCGGTGACTTAGGACGATACTAACCCTTGCACATCCTGCCGCAGCAGCCTCTGGATCGCCAGAGGTTCGCAGCTGAAAGCGAGCGGAGGGTGATGGACTGGTTAGCTTAACCACTGTGCTTGCATCTTGTTTCTGATACGTAGCACAGATCAATGTCAAGTGAGTCTAGTGTGAACGCAAAAGCAGCTTGTTGTCCTGCTTGCTTCAGGGTGCAAAATTTGAAATTAGCCGGATATACTGGGAGTCGATACTTAGAGGTAGAGTTCGAGCTACCTGAGAGCTTCATCGCCGTCCTGGAACAGAGCATTTAGATGGCTGTCTGGATCAAAAGCCCGATGACCCTTGAGTACGGATATA